GAGGGTAAGACAGGGTTCTGGTGCCCTTCACAGACCCAGGAATGCTCTGTTATAGCTGGGTAAACTGAAAAGCAGCTGGAAACTGAGCTATTACACCACATTGTCCCTAGCATGGACCACTTTCAGAATCCCTCCATCTCTAGATGGCTTCTGGGCCAGGAAGAGCGTGGGAAATGGGACCTGGGGAGTTTGATTGGACTGGAACCCCCCTGATCCTGAGCAGAGACTGTCTGGAACAGTAACCTTATTCCTTGTCCCAGCCTTGACTAGAGGACCCTGAGCTCAGATCCCTAAGGGAATGGGGAATGTTTCCCCTACTTTCTTGGTGAGACCACTAGTGTCATAAAGGTGTGCGGTCATCAGCGCCCCTGGAAAAGTCAGATCATGGTGGGAAACTTATCTGGAAGCCCAAGGTGGGCCTCCCAGGCAGTGCCTCCCTGAGCTCCATGGCAGGTAATTGAACTAGAGCCTCCTTGGCCTGTGGGCATAAAGTGTTGCAAGGTGGTGGTTTCTGTAGTAACCATAGAGGCTCCAGATGAGTTGCAGTTGGCTCCACTGCTGCTGAAGCTCGGGGTCAGCACAGAGAGAGGCCAGAAACCAGACTCATGGGGAAACCTCCTGGGAAGGGGGCCACGGGAGATGGCTTCTAAGGTCCCTTCTGGTTCTCAGTCCTCTGATTTCACCAGCCCATGACTGGCAGTCACTCACCATCCTGCGTCTGTGTAAAGCTATGGCTCAAACCTTCCCCTTTCTTTAGCACAATGAAACTTCTGGAGACTCCTAATGCTAGACTCCCACCTCCAGAGATTCTGACTTAATTGGCCTTGGGTGTTGGACTTGAGTATTGGGTGTTAGTCTCAGACATTGAGATTTTTAGATTTTTCCCAGATAAGTCTAAAGCATGGACAAGGTTGAGAACTGCTGATGAAAAGGCAGGTGAGCTAGTAATAATTAATCACTACAATTTATGTGCCAGATGCTGTGCACATTATCTACATCATCTATGTTTTTTACATCATCTCCTTTAATCTTCACAATAATCCCATTTTCTACATGAAGAAACATGCTTAGAAAGGGTAAGTGACTTTCCAAGGCCAGAGAGCAGTAAACACTGACGTTCTATCCCAGGGCCGTCAGATTCAAAGCCCAGGCTGGCGACTCTTGTAATAACTGTTTTTGAGGTTGTGTGGAAAGGAAGATGGGACACATCTGTGGCAGGCCTTGATACCCAAGGAGACCCTTGATATCCTACGTGAGGTACGCCTGTGCCCAGGCTGAGGTTCCTGGCCCAGTGCAGCCCCCAGCATCTTCTGATTGGCTAGAAGCACTGGTGGGCCAAGTGGGGTTGGCTACCTCCCCAGAACCCAGTGGCTTGTGGGAAGGCCCCCTGGGGCCCACCTTTTCATGCAGGAAAAGTGGACCTGCATGAAAAGCCCTGCACTCAGGGATGGTGGATCATGTGCTTAGTTTCCTAGCTGTAGTGATGAGTGGCAGTGTTTCAACTAGGGACACAGCATCAGATGAGATTTTGTTCCCAGAGGAGTGGGGACTGGTTGGGAGTCACATTTGTTCAACAGGTATTTTAGGTTTATAGCACACTCAGAAAAAAAGTCAGGAGCCATCCATAAAATAGGACCAGAGCCTTTATATTTGCAGTTTCATTGAAATTTAGTGACAGACAGACCCAGCAGGTACCTGTTTTACTGGCAGTAAAAGTAAATTGGACAGCAGGTATTTAAAAGGAGTTCAAGTTGTTTAAATCTAAAATGTAGGGTTATGTGTTATGACTTAAAAAAGAAAGTTTACAAGGCTTGGGGATTTGGGTTGAACTGTTTTTGATGGAAATGACATGGAAAATATTTTCCTTCCTTATTTTAAACCTTCCCCTTTGCTGTTTGTTTCCTAATTTTAGCAGTCAAGAAAAAATAAGCAAATCTAGCTGGAAAAAAACTGAAGCAAGTAAGACAAGCTTCAGAGTTTAATCAAAGTGTTGGACTGGAAATAAAACTCTCTGAGATGAGAAATAATTCTTCCCCTCTTATAGAGCAGAGTCATTATTTCAGCTTAAACAACTTCAGATGTGATTGACCTTATTGGACACGGAAGTGCTGGATTTGGCATTTCCCAAAAAGACAGACTGGGGAGGAGGCTGCTGCCTAACTGCCAGCCAAGAACCCTCATGAGCCAGGAACTGTTGGCAGGAGGCTGGAGGGCTGTGGGAGGCTCATCAGGCTGTCGCTCACCTCCCCCGCAGCCCTCCTTCCTCGCCATGGCAACTCATGGACCTCTGAAGCTGTGGCCCAGATTGAACCCCAACCCCAAAGCCTGAAGGCATCCCTGCCTGCGGGGAAAGCTGGGAGTGCCCCACCGGCTCTGGGCTCAGGTCATTGGGCTGCCCGTCAGGGAGCAGCCTGGTATCATGGAGTGGAGGGCTGCCACCTACAGTGTGTCATTGCCATAGGCGGCTCATTTGTTGGGTTTTGTTTTTGATTTTGCTTCTTACTTTTGGAGAATGGTTTCCTATTCATTGAAAGGACTAAAGGACTGACATCCCTGAACTTTTGGTTATTAAAGATAGCCAATGCAAACTGGTTTAAGCAAAACAAAACAAAACACAAAACCCCAAAAGGGTAGGTAGATAGATGATAGATAGATGATAGAGATAGATGATAGATAGATAGATAGATAGATAGATAGATAGATAGATAGATAGATAGATAGATAGATAGATAGATGATAGAAAAAAACCTAAGGTGAATTTGGATTAGATATGACTGATTTCAGGGACCCTAAACAATATCATTAGAGATCCATCTCTTGTCTTTGATTGTTCCTTCTTGGCTTCATTCTCCAGGCAAGATTTCTTCATGTGGTGGACAAGAAGACGCTCATCTCCCAAGCTTAGCAGTGCAGATGAAGAGAGCTCATCTTACAGGAAACTCTCTGGAAGGACACTGATTTTTCCAGATTGAATCAAGTGACCATTCCCATCCAAATCCTGCAGTGATAAGATCAGCCTAGCCTGGGCCTTGTGCCCACCCTTCTGGTGGTAATGGAGGTGGTGGGACAGGGGGACAGTGACTAACAGCCCTTCCAGGAGCATGTGAGTGGGAGGGAGATGACTGAGGCAGTCGTTGAAAACTCCACTGCCACCTCCTTGGTCCACCTCAGCCCCAACTGTGTTAAGTTGTGTGTGTGTGTGTGTGTGTGTGAGTGAGTGTGTGCATGCATGATTGTGATTGTGAGTGTGTGAGTGGGTACTGGATAAAGTTTGCTGAATAAAGGGATGAATGAGTGAATGAATGAATACCTAAATGTTGTCCCTGCTCTCAACTTATAACCAACTGGAGAGGAAACCACTGCAAACAAATTTTGACACATCAAGTGACTTCAGCAGCTCAGCCCTCACCTCCTCTGTGAGCCCTCCCTGACCACCATCTGCAGAGCTGTGGCCCCAGCCCCATCCTTTCATTTCTGTACTTCTGCCCTTCTTTATTCTTCCTCATAGCACTTAGCGCCATCTGATGCTCTATGCGTATTTTGCCTGTTTATCTCTTTGCTTCCAGCAACAAGAATATAAGTTTCACCAGGGCAGGGATTGTCAGTTTTGTTAAATGCTGGATCCCAAAGCCCAGAATAGGGTCTTGGTCATCGTAAGACTCAAAAGCAATGGCTAATGAGTACCTGAGTGATGAGCAGTCATGGCCTCAAGCATTGCCTTCCCTGCACACACGCACACACACACACACACCACACACTCACACACGCACACATGCACTCACACATGCACTCCTGCCTGGGGAAGCTGGGGACCAGGTGCTCAGGGGAGCACTGAGGCCCCTGGGCTGTGGGTGTATGTTCCCCAGCATCAGCCAACACACTGGTCGCCTCTCCCACAGGTTCAGCTGCCTTCCTGGGCCCATCCTCTAGGGACTAGGCCTGTAACAGAGTCCTGCTGCGGGACTTTGTGCATAGACAATCTCACCTGCCTTCCTGCTGCTGCTGTGGGCCCACAGCTCCAGCCCGAGCTGCTGGTCAGGTGAAGCCCGGGACGCACTCACAGTTGATGATATTTCAAGATGCTCTGGGGAACACCCAGCCAACAGTTTGGTTCAAATAATGAGATGTCAGGATCCATCTATCCATCCATTCATCTCAGATGTGTCCTTCCCCAAGATCTTTCTTCAGGGGATTCTGGGAGCTCAGAGTAAGGTGTGGCTGAGAGAAGGGAGGCTGGGCTGTGGCATCTGTCATCCATCACTCCCCAGAGCTTAGCATTGGGGGGCCCAGTAGGTCTGACATGGGACTATTTCAGTGGCAAGCACAGGGTCCCAAGAACATGTGTCCTTGTTGCGTGTTTGCATTCTGGCAGTGTGGCATTAGCCTGTAAGGGCCTGCATGTCCTCACAGAGTCCTCTGTGCAGCCACTCCTCCAAGCCCTGGTGCATTACTGGTCAGGCATCTCCTATGTGCCTAGCCTCATGTCAGCCCTAGTTCACCCCTGGGAGGCTGTCAACCTGTGGGTTGCTTGTCAACTTGCAGCCTGGCTGGCAGTCCCCTCAGGACACCTCCTCTTGGGGCTCTGGTGTGTTCCAGGAGTCACGCTGTGTATGTCTAGCAAAGAGCATGGTTATGAATGTGAGCTTCAGAGTCAGAATGGGCAGTTTGAATCCAAAACCTGCGACTTAGTAGCTCAGACCTTGGGCTTTTTTTAAAAAGTAGACTTATTTTCTATAACAGTTTTAGGTGCACAAAAGAGTGGAAAGTACAGAGAGTTCCCATATTTGCCTGTCCCCGCACACATGGGTACTGGTTTTCACTTCTCGAGCCTCAGTTTCCTCATATGTACAGTGGGGGAAATGATGATCTCCTGCTCACAGAACTGGGGTGAAGAACAGACAAGGCAATGCACTTGGCCCCTGCCTGGCAGTAAGTGCTCACCACGCAGTGACTGCCATGCCTCCTGCTTGTGGTCCCTCTGATGCTGACCTTTGTTTCAGGTGACAGGAACGCCCTCCAAAGGCTTTGATGAGAAGGCCTACCTGGCGGCCAAGCAGCTGAAGGCTGGAGAGGACCCTTACAGGCAGCATGCCTTCAACCAGCTGGAGAGCGACAAGCTGAGCCCCGACAGGCCCGTCCGGGATACCCGCCACTACAGGTGCGGCCTCCATTGTGCCAGTGGAGGAAGAAAGGGGCGGAAAGGGCCAACACTAGTCAGCTTGTTGTCTGTCAGTCACCTGGATTTAAGAAATGGGCAAGATTTCCTCAGACTCAATCGAGTTATTGAGACATTCAAGCCCTCTCCTCAGTTGTTTTCATAACTCCTGAGATGCTGAGCAGGCCAAGGAGACCTCCCAGCCAGGGCCAAGGAGGCCCTCAGCACCTCAGTCCAGAGTCCCCTAGAGAACTGCCTGCCAGGGGACCCCAGGAAGCCCAAGGGTGAGCCAGGCTGGTGGTACCTGACAGGAGGAGGGGACCCCCAGCCCTGCCCGCACTGTGTAAATGGTGGAAGGCTGTGCCCTGCCCACTGGCATCTCTTCCCAACCTGCTGTCCCCACTTCCTCAGCAACTCCCAGAAGTGCTTCTCAGTCTTGCTCTCAGTTCTCCCAGCATGGTAGGTGAGAGACGCGCTACACCAAGATCCAGGCCGCCCTCCATGCTAATCCCAGCTCCAACTCCACTCAGTGCGAGTGACCGACCCTGGGGAAGTCAGCAGGCCCTTGCTGTGTCCTAGCTAGATTATGAGTTGCCACTCCAGTCTCCTCTTCCTGCCCTCACCTGTCTGAGCTCCTTACCCTGAAGTGTAAGCCACACCTCCACACCCCCAGCCTCAGCCTCTTCTCACCCAGACTTAATGCTGCCACAGTCCTCTGCTCCTCCTACCTCCCTCCTTGTCTACACAGGCTGTTTCCTGTGCCTGAACCCCCCTCCCCACTGCCATATTCAAAACACACACACCCTGAACTGCCCTCAGTGCCTTCTCCTCCAGAAAGGTTCCTTGCCAACCCTTGGGGGAGCCTCCTCTGTGCTCCACACAGACATCTAACAGGCCAGGGAGGGGCTGCTGGAGATGACCCACCTGTGTGCCTGCAGCTTTGAATGGCCCACATGGGCCGTGCTGGGCCCCACTATGTATTCAGTGCCCAGCTGCTCCTGTTTGGAGGGTAGGTGAGAATGACTCGTGTCATTGCTCTTCCTTCCCTAAGCAGCTGCTCTGTAGCATAAAAGATGCATGTGAGATGAGATTGCAGAACGGGTCCTGCTTCCAGCACCTTCTTGTCATTCAGGGAGGTGTGTCGGAAGTCCAGAGGGCTTGGCAGCCTGTGCAAGGTGAGACTGGTGTGAGGTTGGGGAGCCCCAAACTGTCCACACAGTCCTGTAACCCCAGCACTGTCAGCTTCCAGAAACCACTCATGCTACCAAATAGGGCAATAATCCCACTACCTGGGAAGAACCCTCCCCAAACATGCCAGGTCTAATGGCCAGTTGAGGCCAGGGACGTTCTTTCTCAATCAGTCCTAGGGCAGTCGCCCTCATATCTGCCTGTGCTGTGGGGCCTGCGAGGTTATATCCACACAGTTCCACTTGGAAACCTTTCACGGGCAGCCCTAGACCCCAGGCCGGGTGGTTCTGCTGACCCAGACTGGTGAATGGAGGGCTGGACTGGATCACCTCTGCCCTCCTACCCTCCCAGCCACCCTCTGAATGTTCTCAGGTGTTCACCGAGAAACTTAACCAGGGAATTCCTCTTGGGGCTATGCACGTTTGGAAACCAAGGTCTTCAAATCCAAGGCTGAGTGGGTTGGTGAGGCAGGCCTCTCCTCCCGCCCCAGCGCTGCTGCTGGCCCTCTCTGGAGCCCGAGGTAGATCAGGCTGTGGGTGCGTGCATGTGTGTTTGTATAGGGGGAACAAAGGAGGTGCTGGCTTTGGGGACAGGGCCTCACATGGAGGGGCCGGGGTGCTGGAGTGAGCCATGCTTTTCTCCTTGGCCTTCCAGGCTGCAGCTTCTGCTGGACCCCAAACTGTCAGCCTAGTTCCTGGTCCAGCCCTCAGTCTAGAGAGCCTCCTCAAGGGGAGCAAGGAGACCTAAGCCCCAGCATCACAGAAAACTCCCACCATCTCCAAACTCAAAACACAGGATAGGATAAACCTCTTCATAGGCTCTTGGCTCCTGGGAGCCAGAAAACTCCCCATCATCATTGATACAAATCTAAGGGAAACAGGGTGGAGACGGCTGGAGGGGCAGGTGGGGAGGAAGTCAAGTCCACCCTTCAAATGGGATGTGGGAGGTTAGCCATCTTCAGGTGGAGAATGGACATCCCTCTCCAATTCTGTCCCTCCTGATGGTCAGGGTTCAGGGGCAGAGACCTGGGTCCCTAGAGGTCAACACTGCATGGCCGGGAGCCCAGGGGGTGGCTGCTTGTCCCAGCACTCCCCATCTCAGCAGGCCAAGCCCACTCCCACCCCAAACCCCCATACCTCTGGGAGTACCCCTGGGGAAGCCTGCCTTCCCAGGCGCAGAGGTGAATTCCCCTCCTACTCTCCCGCAGCCCCTCTCAAGGAGAATCATTTTAAAGCCTCCCAGGATTTCTCCCATGGGGGGTCCCAGCTGATGGAACCCCTGCCTGTCTGACCCAGTCTGCTCTGTGGGGCAGGAAATGGGCCTGGGAATTGGCTGTAAGCTGTTGTCAGTGGAATGAGTGCTGGAATGAAAAAGCAGCCACTGTTGAAATAGTCAAAGAGCAATTGCAATAAAGATTGCTGTAAAAACCAGCTGCCTTCCCGCTGGCCCCAGGAGTACAAATGAACACATTCGCAGAAATGCAGAGACCACAGGGTGAAGGATGGCAGGAATGGATCATTTTAATTCCCTTTCCTGAGGAGTGGGGACCCAGTGACCCCAAAATGTGGTGTGGGGAGCACAGAGCTGCTGGGGGAGGGAGCAGGTGGCGGGGACTGGCTGTGGTGCCTTCTCAGAGGCTTCCTTTTGCCCGGGAATCCAGGAGGAGTGAGGCTGCTCCCCTGCCAGGCTGCCATGCTGGGAAGGATGGAGGTGACCCCTCTCCAGATCCTACCAAATGCCAGGAGCCAGGGGAAGAGAAGGAAGAAGCTACAGAGTGTCAGACACAAAAGAGAGGCTGTTTTCCCTCTGCTTTCCTCCGGCATCTTATTTCTCTTGGCAGCGAGTTCTGTCTTCTGGTCCAGGGCTGGGTCCTGGAGCCTGGTTTGGTGCCTGCACACAGTGGGAGCCCTCCCAAACGCTGCGGTGACAGTGGGCTCCAAGGGCTCTAGGTCTTGGTAAAGAGTGCCTAGACCTGGGAAGTTCCCCCAAACTGTGGCTTCCCTCCAAGGACTCCAGGCCGGGTGGCTGAGCGAGGAGGAGCGTAGCTGTGGAAGGGCAGGGCTCATGTCAGGCTTCTGGCTTGCCTTCTTTGTCCCACAGAGGTATTCCAGGGGGGCAGCAGGCTGGACAGAGAGAGGCCTCAAGCCCACCCTGAGGATGCTCCCACAGCTGCCCTCTGCCCTCTGCTCCCTTCTCAGTTGCCCATCCGTGTCCTACTCTGCGGACCTGCCGGCCACCAGTGTCGTCATCACCTTCCACAATGAAGCCCGCTCCACCCTCTTACGAACAGTGAAGAGGTAAAAGCCCAGCCTGGGGATCCTCATCTCCCTGGGGCTCCAGGGTGATCTGCTCGGGGTTGGCAGGGAGGACATGGAGATAGGGTGCTATGGCCAGAAGGCGTGAAGACCAGCAGACACTGGGAGGAGGAGGCCTGCCCTTCTGAGAAGCTGGGGCAGGTGAGTCAGTGTCCACAAGACCCCAGAAGTCACTTGTTAGCGAGATGCACAAACACAAGGTCAGGTCCCTGGGATGAGGGCAGAAATGCAGAGTCAGGAGCCAGGGGAGGAAGAGATGGACATGGGGCCTGAGACAGATGGATACCTGCCTAGTTGGCCTGTTGGCCACTCAGAAAGGCACCCCTTCTGTCCTCCTAAGTTTGGCCTTGTGGTCAAGCCAAACTCCTGCTCACCCTGTTTCTTCAATGAGCTAAGAGAATAACAGAGTTCAGAAAGGAATGCCCAGTGTATTCCAGGGATTAAAGAAGCTTGGATTTTCTTTCCCAGAGAGCAGAGGAAGAGGAGGGCCAGTAGGAGAGAAAGAACTGGGGGGCTTCCTGAGAACACCCCCTGATCCAGAAGGAGCCTCGCTAGTCCCACAGGCAGACAGCTCTAGTCCAGCTGTGGATGGGCCTGGGAGTGGAGCTGGTTAAGCCCAGGCAGTCACAGCAGCTTCAGGTCCACCTGGATAACTAAACTAGGGCAGTCCCCAGCCCCACCGGGGAGGGTCCCGAGGGCCTGAGGGTCCAGGGAGAAGGGTCGGCTGGGTCCTTGGGAGAGCCTGAGGGACACACTGCTCCCCAGCCACTGACCAGGGCCCAGAAGGTTTGCAAAAACCTGCCTGTGGCCAGTGTGCTGGCCCCTGAGCTGAGTGGTGGGGTAGCCCTATGGCAGGGAGAGGTCAAGGAAAGCTGGTCCCTAAATCCGGGCTCCTTTGTCCGCATCACTTCTCCAGTGTCCTGAACCGAACTCCTGCCAGCCTAATCCAGGAGATCATTTTAGTGGATGACTTCAGTTCAGATCGTAAGTATCCACCTTCTTTTCTGCAGCCCTCCACACCCTCATTTCCCCAGAATTCAGAAGCAAACACTCTTAGGGTTGTCCCAGCATCACAGGCTGACCTCTGCCCCTGACCATGATCTTGTCTTTTCTAGTTGCCCTCCCTGGCTGTGCTCCCTGGTACCAAAGGAGGTGAAAGAGTGGTGTTGATTTGATGGGACACCAATGAGATGCCATATTAAAAAAAAAAAACTGAAATAATGTCAGCAGCATCTTTCCTTATTACAACTGCCATATGCAGGAGATGGTCTCTTCCATCTGGCTTCATGCTGTTGGGCTGAGGCCGTGCTGGTGTGCCCTGTTCCCCCCCAACCCTGATGGGTAGTGCCATAAGGACAGGCATTCCTCAGTCTGGCCTGGGAGTGGGGGACAGGGTACTCCTTTGCCCAGTGAGATGACCATGCTCATTCATGCCCCCACCCACAGCCCTTTCCCTGGGCCTGGTACAAAACAGCTCCTGTAGTTCCAGTGGGGGCCAAACCACTTGTGGTCTGATGACCGTATCTGACTGAGCTTGTTTCCTTCTTTCCACCCTCAGCTGAAGACTGCGTACTCCTGACCAGGATCCCCAAGGTCAAGTGCCTGCGCAATGACCGGCGGGAAGGTAGATTGTTTTACCCTGGCTGCCACCGCAGACCCATTTTTGTCTAGACAGCTGTACCTCCCCAACTAGGGCACAGGCACTTTAAGGGATCTAAAAGAAGTACAAAATACGGTCCTGGCCCTCAGAGGGCTTATTATGTAGCCAAGGAGTCAGAATCCATCACAGTAACAGGCTGGTTATAATTACTTAGAGGCAGAATGGGAATGGGAGGAGAGGGGAGTGGCCAGTGAGCGGCTTTGATTGGGTGATGGGCCTGTGAGGCAGGTGGAGGGGAACCGGGAGGGCATTCCAGGTTCAGGGACTCCGCCCGCAAAGGCATGGATGCACATGTTCTCGCAGCCCTCCTCTGAATGCTCATCCTGTAGCTGCCATTCCCTTTACACTGGATCCTCATGAAGTCTACTGTCCTTGATGTGCAGATAGGAACCTGGGGGACTTGCATCCTGGAAGAAGGAGGCCCACCCCAATGCCCAGCTTTTTAATTTCCCTCTGCTTCCCCAACTCTGGTCTGCAGGGAGAAGGGGTGGAGTGAGGATAGATGGCAAAGGACCTTGGAAGCCAGAAAAATGCACTTAGACTTCATAGAGCAGATAGTAGGGAGCCACTAAAGGTTTGAGAGAGAGAGAGAGAAAGGAGAGAGAGAGAGAGAGAGAGAGAGAGAGAGAGAGAGAGAGAGAGATGTGATGGGCACATTTAAGAAAGATCAGTCAGACCAAGGGGACCTACCAACAGGAATGAAAGAGGCCAGAGAGAAATCTCTCCCAAGCACCAGGGTGAAGGTGTCTTTTCACCTGGGAATATACTGCTCCCTGGGGTTTGCCCAACATAGATGTACATTTTGATGCTTTAAGGTATCCATGGAGTGGAAGATGGGGCAGATGGACTTTTGCATAGATGGACAGATAGTCAGATGGAAGGAGGCAGAGTGCCAGGCAGAGGTGTGGCCAGGGAAATCTCTCCAGGAGATAACTTGTATTCAGACCTCTTTGAGTGAGGCCTCCCCATCCCCCAGCTCACAGGGCACCAGTGGCTGCTCTGCCAGGGGCGGGACCAGGTGGGCCACCACCCCTCCCCTCACCAGGCAAGTCTCCAGCCCTGACCAAGGAGCTGCCAAAAGCGAGGCCATTCTCTGCCCTCGGTGAGCCTGTCAAGGAAGCGGGGGTGGAAGCAGAGGAGGATCTAGCATAAGCAGGCCTCCTCCACACCAGGCACTCTCCCCAGTAGGCAAGGTTTATTCTTTCTCTGAGTCTCCTAGATAAGAAAACCAAAGCTCAGAGAGGTTAAGTAACATGCTTAAGGTGAGTGGCAGGGGGCTGGAATATTAACTGCAGCCTGTCTCAGTCTAGAAGATTCTTTTCGTGTCATGCATGATGTTGCAGCTGGGACAAGGACTGCCCCAAGGTTTCCTGCAGGGGAGGGTGGGGTGACAAGGGGGAGGAGGAAAGCATTTCAGTTTTTTGTCCTCCTTTGATACCAAACCACACTTTATTGCAGTTTCCATTCACTAAATTCTGACTGTTCATCAGTGTGTCTCCAGAGCCCAGAACAGTGTCCAGGCCATGGGGGCGGGGCACCCAGAGGATGACCTTGGGGTACTGATGGTTGAATGAATGAGAGAAAGAAGGAGAGGGAAGGAGGAAATAAGCAGATACAGAGTAAAGTTCAGTCACAGAAACTCAGGGCAGAGCTCTGCCCCTGGAGGGGCAGGGAGCCCTGAGACTTTGGGGGCCTGGCTGGGAAGCAAATTGGCCCCACCCCAGCTCCAGCCCCTGTTTGTCTGCTGCCACTGCAGGGCTGATCCGCTCCCGAGTTCGAGGGGCTGATGTGGCTGCAGCTGCCGTCCTCACCTTTCTGGACAGCCACTGCGAAGTGAACGCTGAGTGGCTTCAGCCCCTGCTGCAGCGAGTGAAGGAGGTGAGTCTGTCTGTCCCCAGGGGGATCTGTCCCTCGGAATGTGCCCACTATGTTCTTGGCATGAGGGCTCATGAACAGTCTTTGAAGTTGCAAAGGCTAAGGAGGAAGCCTAAATGGTCTGTTTCTTCCTGAGTACTTCCCCTCATTCCTTTGCAGGAGAGCTTTCTCATCTGCAGACAAGGGTAATTGTAATATTTGTCCCACTGGGTGGCTGTGAGAATGCAAGTAGTTGAGAGCCATGTGAGCTATAAAGCTCCCCAAATGAGTGTTGTTCTTCCGTCCTGGGCAGGGGCAGGATCCTGTGCTGGGGGTGGGGGTGGGGACTTTTGGTCGGGCTGGGAAGCCAGAGAGGGATGGCGGAAGGGATGGTGTTCTCAGGAGCAATGAGGGCAGGGGGTACCCTACCATGTGCTCACTGTTCTCTAGAATCGGGGGTGGGTGGGGAGGGGTGGGGGTGGTGTGGGGGAGGGATTTCAAAATATGGAGGAAAGGATGAGGTGATTACTATTCAACCATAAAAAGACAATAACCCAATTTCAAAATGGGCAGAGGATCTGAATGGACATTTATTCAAGGAAGATACACAAATGGTCAATGAGCATCTGAAAAGATGCTCAACATTATTAAGTCATTAGAGAAATGCAAGTCAAAACCATTTCAAAATATGGAGGAAAGGATGAGGTGATTACTATTCAACCATAAAAAGACAATAACCCAATTTCAAAATGGGCAGAGGATCTGAATGGACATTTATTCAAGGAAGATACACAAATGGTCAATGAGCATCTGAAAAGATGCTCAACATTATTAAGTCATTAGAGAAATGCAAGTCAAAACCACAATGAGATACCACTTGATACATATGAGGGTGGCTCTAATCAACAGGATGGACATTAACAAATTCTGACAAGGATGTGGAGAAATAAGAGCCTTCACACATTGCTGGTGGGAATGTAAATGGTACAGCCACTTTGGAAAAAACAGTTGGGCAATTCCTTAAAGGTTTCAACACAGAGTTACCATACAACACAGCAAATCCACTGCTAGATATACACTCAAGAGAAATGAAAACATACTCCATACAAAAACTTGCATATGAGTATTGAGAGCACTATTACTCAGAATAGCCAAAATGTGGAAACAGCCCAAATGTCTGTCAACTGATGAATAAGGAAACAAAATGTAGTATGTCCATACAATGGGATGTTATTTGGCCATAAAAAGGAATGAAGTACTAATCTTGCTACTATATGGTGTCCTTTATAAACCTCATGCTAAGTGCAAGAAGCCAGTCACAGAAGGCTACATATTATAGGATACCACTTATATGAAATGTTCAGAATAAATGACTCCATAGAAAGAGAAAGTAGATGAGTGGCTGTCAGGGACTGGAGACAGCGGGGAATGGAGACTGACAGCTGTGGGTACAGGACTTCTTGTTAGGGTGTGAAAATGTTGGAAATTAGATAGTGGTGATGGTTGTCAACCTTGTGAATATGACACACCACTGAATTGGACAACTTAAAATGGTGAATTCTAGAGTATGTCACTTATGTCCAATACAATTGTTATAAAAATGTGAATCATATCTCAGTACAAAAAGTTGATAAAAAGGACAAGGTGAGGCCTCCACAGAGCATGGTGAGAAATCACGGACCGTCTTCCCCTGATCTGCCACCTCCCAGGCTTTTGTTGTCCTGAGATACGGTGTGAACTGAGGGGCAGCTGGATTCCAAATCACAACAAGAGAGTTTTGAGGGTCAGTGTAGAGTGTGCAGAGGGAAGAGAGAAAGAAGAGGCTCTGGTCTGTGTCCCTCCAGGAGGGAGAGAGAAGAGAGAGCTGACGAAGGACAATTAAGTTGTGCATGTGGTATATGACATAACCCACCACTACTACCCCCGCAAAAAACACACTTCCTAAAGTCAACATCACCCACCAATGTTTTGGAGTGGATTTCTGTCTGGGAGGTGATGAAGCGAGTAGTGAGTCTGGCCTTGAAGTGGCTGTGGCATGAGAGGAGTGACACCCAGGTTATATGGGGACCAAGCTGCTGGCCATCCAGTTGGGAAGACTCAACCCAAACATGTACAAAAGGTAGATGACAATTAATAAAACAACCCTTCAAACCAGCAATAGAAAAGCCACCTCAGGCAGCCTATCAGTCACTGTCCCAGGAATTGTCTGGATTGTAACAGTGAGAGTGACTTGAAAGTGGAAGAAAGCCTCAGCCTGCAGCAATCAAGGAGGGCTTCACTGAGGAAGGAGATCCCGCCTAGGCTCCACATGATGTGCGAGGAAGAGGCTGGGAGAGCACCACGCCAGAGGGCACCTAGGTGGGACCTTCTAGGAGCCTGGATGTGATGAGGCAGGCCGGCTCCCTGGAGCCTGACCTGTCCTACAGAAAGTGCTGAGTGCCCCATGCCAGAATTGGTTGCTGTCCATCCTGTTGATCAGAGCCACCCTAATATGTATCAAGTGGGGAACTTCTTCCCAGAGCAGGCAACTGCACCTTTTTTCCCAGAGCCCTGACCTCTTGCCATATCACATTCCCTCTCCTAGGACCACACCCGTGTGGTGAGCCCCATCATTGATGTCATCAGCCTGGATAATTTTGCCTACCTTGCTGCATCTGCTGATCTTCGTGGAGGTGGGTCTAGCTCCCAGGGGAAGGGTTCTGGATCTGAAAGGAGGCAGGTGATGGCAGGCAAAAGCCCTGGCCTGATGCTTTTCTTCCCAGCTGTGCCATAGTGTCTCACACACACCCCTACCTCCAGGAGATGAAAAGAGATTATATAGAGCCCTGGGGCTGCAGGTAGTTGCAAGCTCTTCACAAATCAGTGGCAAGGCCAAACTAGTCTCTCATCTCCCCACCCCCAAACATTGATATACCCTTCCCAAATGCTGCCAGCCCAGTGACCATGGTCACAAGTCCTGGCAGAAGGACATGGTATGACAGCTCTCTTGGGGGTGGGGGAGGAGGATCAACCTTGTGTGAATTCCTAACCCTTGGAAATGGCCTAGAACTAGGTTGTCTAGTATGGTAGCTATTAGCCACATCTGGCTACTAAGCTCTTACAATGTGACCAGTCTGAACTGAGATGCTATAAGTGTAAAACACACCAAGTTTCAAAGACTTAGTATCAGAGAATGTAAAATATATTAGTAATTTTTTGCATCAATCACATGTTAAAATGATTTTGGATATATTATATTAAAAGTATATTACTGAAATTAATTTCATATAGTCTTACTTTTTCATATGGCCACTAGAATATTTTAAATGACATATGTGGCTTGCATTTCTGGCTTGCATTTTCACCCCCAGCTGACATTATCCATTTATTGATTTATCTCTGTAGTCTCTGTCTTACCAGTAGATTAAACGTCCATGAGGGCAGGGACCTGTCACATTTTGAATGGAGGAATGACTGTATGAATTGCCCAAGGCCCTCTGCAAGCTGGGCTCTGATCCAGGGAGACTCTGAGGGGCAGCAGTCTACAGTGGGCTCTTCCCTGAGCCCCATCCTCACCCGACTCTGTCCCTTAGGATTTGATTGGAGCCTGCATTTCAAATGGGAGCAGATCCCTCTTGAGCAGAAGATTGCCCGGACGGACCCCACCAGGCCCATAAGGTTAGGGCTGCTGTGGGCTCCGGGGACCCCTTCCTTCCCTGGACCAGGGGCCCGGGAGGCTGCTGGGGTCCACTGAAGTCACCAAGCTCCTGAAGGTACATGATCTAAGTGCTGACTCTCCTCTGGGCCCCAGGGACAGAGAGGCCAGAGGCCAGATAGCTGGCCAGACATCCTGCCCCAGTGACTGTGCAAGCAGGGCTTCTGGGGCAGATAGCCTGGGATCCTAGGTATCTGAAGAGGCTCCCAGACTCGCCAACTCATGTACTGTCTCTTTCCTCTCCTTGCTCCCAGGACACCTGTCATAGCTGGAGGGATCTTTGTGATTGACAAGTCCTGGTTTAACCACTTGGGAAAGTATGATGCCCAGATGGATATCTGGGGGGGAGAAAATTTTGGTAAGTTGGAAAATAATAATAATAGCAACAACAACAATAATAAGTAACCCTGATCGAACACCTTCTATGCAAAAGGCCCTGTGCTAAGGACTTTATACAGATTGGCTCATTTAATCCTCATAGGGACTCTCTTATATTGGGGTTAAGTAAATTGTCCAGAGCCACACAGCTGGTGAATAGAGATTCAGGTTGTCAGGGGGAGCCTGTGGCCATGTGTCTGGACATGTGTGTGGAAGGTCATACAGACTGCAACGGGGACATCAACTAAGCATGTGGCTGCTTCCCTATCCAGAATGCTGGGCTGGGGCCTCAGTAGAGGGTGGTGGTTAAATGTAAGCAATGGGATCAGATGGCGTGGGTGCAAATCCTGGCCCTGCCACCTATAAGCTATTTGGCCCTGGGCTCCTTAGAGCCTCCCTAAGCCTCAGGTTCTTCCACAGGCTGCTCTGAGTACTAAATGAGATGATTAAAATGCATGGCACAGTGCTGGTGGCCATCATCATTACTTATGAGGCCCTAGGAATCCCCCAGCTCCAGAAGGAAAGGGGAGAGCCCAGTGACCCTCCACCTCCAGGGTTGCCCGTGAGGTTCAGGTTAAAGGCCCAATACAGAAGCAATACCTGGCATCTGGGAATTTAAGGGGGCTTATTAAAGGGCCTATTTACATGGTGTGGGCAAGATATAGGGGCCCCAAGGGACGGTGTAGTACTGGGCAGGCTTGACAATGGCTGGCCTGTGGAACTACCCCTAGGTCTGAAAGATGGGAGGAGTCCTCCCCAACCCACCAACAGGAACTGCGGTCTTGGGGCACCTGCAGCCAACCCACAGCACCCACATGGAGGGTGGAGGGGGACAAACACCCACCCTCACTCTCCTGCTCTGATCTGCTGGCCTGCAGCAGAGAGCCGGGTGGTACAGCCCACACAGGCCACCTTCCGGGCAAGGAGGGTGGAGAAGGGTGGAGAGCCGTTCCGGAGGGCTCCAGGAGGTAGAAAGCTGCCTTGAGGCCTGTCACCTACAAAGGCCTGTTCTGGTTCTTGCAGTGGACCGAGTCCTGTGCAGAGACTTTTCCCACTTCCTTTTGCATCCTCACCAGGCTCCTTGTGAAGTAAAAAGGGCTGGTGGTACCTCATCCATTTGACAGGTGGGAAAACTGAGGTGGACGCTGCCTTCCATATCAGTCAGGAAACTCCGTGACTAACAGTTGTATGTCGCGTCTCTACCAGAGCCACGTAAATGTTGTGAGGTGGTGCAAAGTCAAATTCTGTGTTTCTGAGATGTGAGGAACACGTCTTTCTTTTCTGTCCTTAGATGAGCAGTTGGGCTTGAAACAGGCCTGATCCCAACTCACCACTGACTGGAGTGGGAACAGGCGAGAGATTTTCTCCCCTTTGTGACTTCACCCTGGATACTGTTTCCAGGCAGGCGCTCGGAGGAGTGAATTCTGGTTATGGGGGTGCAGTGACCCCTTCCTTCTGACCTCTCATGGGTTTTGGGCCTAAGTGACCTCCCTTGTGTCCTCAGTCTCAGCCTGAAGGGAGCTTTGGCAAAGCCGTTTTCCTGTAAAGACTCAGAAGACTGGGAAACTAATGGTCTCTCCTGCATCCAGAGGCCGTATCCTTTTTTTTTTCTTTTTTTAGGCTTGGGGACTGATGGAGAAACAAGTGAATGATCAAATAGCTAACTTCAAACTCCGCCTGAGGCAAGGGCTCAGTGGTTAGGGAACTTGAAAGGTGAACCATGGAGTGGTTCTAGGGAAAGTTTTGTGTCTTAGAAGAAATTCAAAGACATTTCTAGACTAACAATAGTGCTCGGATGTTCAGCTTCTGGGACCAGTTTTGAACCAGCTGGAGACCCTTGCTACGGGTGGGTTTGGGCCTTTTATTTCATTCTTTTGTTGATCGAAAGGAAATGCCCAAACTGAGACTCATTCCTGTGTCCATCCCCTGGGACAGCCGAACCAGGGAGCCCAGAGGCCACCTCGAGTGGGGGCAGGAGGCAAACGTGAAAACCTTGGGATTCACATCAGGGATCCTTTTAAAGGTAGTCAGATCATGTCCTTCCTCTGGTCAAGTCCCTGCAAGGGCTCCAGGCACCAGGCCTCCTTGCTTGCTTGGAACCTGCTAGCTCTGACCTCTAGGTCTCTGCCCTGCAGGCCCCTCTGCCTGCAGTGCTCCACCCCTAAAAGCCTCATGACTCACTTCCTCACCTCCTTCAGGTCTTAGCTCAAATGTCCCTTTTCGAGCGGGAACTTCCTTCATCAGCCTGATTAAAATTGTAGCCCCGCCCCACTCCACTCACCCTCTTTAGCCCTCTACCCTTTGTTTCCGTTGCACATATTACCATCTGATGAGCTGCATAGGTGGCTCATTTTCTTGTCTACTAGAATTTTTGTCTCTTATTTTACTGAGTTCCTGCCTCCTCCCACTAGAGTGTAGGGATTCAAGAACAGTGTGGGACATAAAACAAATAGGTGCTCAATAAAAATTTGCTGAATGAACTAAAAAATCTGGTTCAAACAGTACAGCTTACTGGACAAAGGGTGAATTTTACATTGTGATTCTGCAGCTAACTACTTGGATGACCTTGGAGAGGTTATTGAACATCTTTGAGCTTCCCAGTCCTTATTAGAAACAGGGTAATAATTTCAGCCTCACATGGTTGCTAGGACAATTAGACACCAGCTATAAAGAGCATGGCCCTTAGTAAGTGCTCAGTAAATAGACGATGGTTACTGCCGTTGTTATTGCCATTGCTGATAAAAATGACAATAATTAATAGTAGTATAGACAATGTGAGCTGAGGGGGAGCAAGTGACTTAACCAGCATAACGCTAGTCTGGCAGAAATGAGAACAGAATGCAGATTTCCATCCCCCAGGTTCTAAGTCTCAGTTGCTGAAGCAGCTGCAGAGCTCTCATGGGAAGAAGGGACAGAGGCCTGGCACTTTGCAGGCAGACTCAGGGGAGCCTAGTGACATGGGCAACCCTGTGTGTGGGTCCCGATGTGCCAGATATCCCGTTCTGGCTCCCGGATCACACCTGGAAGTTGCCTGGTGCACACAGGCTGACCAGAAAGTGGCTATCAGTCCTGCCACCTCCACTCCCGACTCCCCACTTTGCTAGTCGCTGGGAGGGCCCTGAGCAGCTGTGCCAGGTGAAAGCCCCCAGGCCTGGCCAGGCACCATGAGTGTCCTTACCCCAGCTAGGGAGTGGGAGGAGAGACAAGGCTAGAACTTAAGAGAAAATCATCTTTTTATAAAAATTAAAAACAAAAAAACAAGGGTTATGATTTTCTGGGATAGGAAGGAGGTGTTTAAATGTCACGGGGTGTTCAACTGTAGTGTTAGGATGAAAGAAAGTAAGAAATCAGAAGAAATCCTGTGAGGTCCAGCCTGCTGGAAGTGTGGGTCCTTGCCGGAAGTGCCAACTGATTGGAGAACAAGGTGGGCGACTTGTGATGTGCCCTTCCCTTTGGGAAGCAGAGTGACACTTCCTGCACTTCCAGATGCTGCTGGGGACCAGTCATCTGCAAAAGCTCATTTAGCATCACCACTGCCACAGAAAGAAAGCAGGTGTCAGGAGGGCACGGCCGCCTGGACCCAAAGACCGCCCAGGGCCAAGAGGGAGACCTGGAGCAGCCTGCGGCATGGCTGCCGGTAGTTGCTAGCTCCCTCCTGCTCAGGGCTGACTGATGAGCAGATGTGTTCTTCCTTAGCTCATGTCTGGATGGGGCTTTCTGGACAGAGGCTGGAAATGATGCTGCCATTTGATTCAGTTTTCCTTCTACTCGTGGTCTCGGTGTTCTCTCAGGCCTCCGGTTGGGGCAGTGTGCAGTGTGTCTGGAGGGGGCTGTGTGGTGTTTGGCTGGTGTGTGTGCACAGCATGGACTGAGCAGGGGGAACATGCGCAGGGGAGGCAGGAGCTCCGACCCCAGCAGGGAACTCCACGGAGACACCAAAAGCAAGGGAAGCCCACTCCTCCCTCTTGCACGCAGTGGGAACTTGCCAAGGGCCCCTTCCCGCTGCTGATGGCTGCCCTCCCCTGCCTCCTGCAGAGCTCTCCTTCAGGGTATGGATGTGCGGCGGGAGCTTGGAGATTGTGCCCTGCAGTCGGGTGGGCCACGTCTTCAGGAAACGGCACCCCTACAATTTCCCTGAGGGCAACGCCCTCACCTACATCAGGTAGGTCACAGTGCAGAGGGCACGGAGCCAGGAGCCAGACAACTAGGTTCTAGACCCCTGTCTAGCCATTTATTCATGTGACTTTGGGCAGCTTCCCCACCTCTCTGGGCCTCAGTTTCCCCACTTGCCCTCTCCTATTCTGGGATTCTATACTTTCAGGGGTGGAAGGAAGAAGTTGAGAGGGTTGCCTCCAGACCTCTCTTGTCTTGCTTTATCCATGAGGATCTTGGAAAACCAGCCAAATGACCAACTGGGAGTTGCCCAACGCTGATAAGACCCCAAGCACTTGATCAGTGGCTGCCCATCTGTGTCCCCAGCCACATAGTGTGCTTGAACTTGAAGGGGAGTGGGCAAGGCCCTGGAAACCACCCCATTTTCCACTCTCCTGATGGAATGGCAAGGGGAGGAGGGGCAGGAGCACCCCATCCGGGGGATGATTCTTCATCTAACCTGGCCCGTGCTCTGTGTTTATAGCAGCAGCTCCCGGAGTCTGGCTAAACAATGGCCTAGCATTTTCTCTTGCTTCCCCCACCCCATTCTTATTGTTTTTAGAATTATAAAAGCAATACATGTATACTATAAGAATGCAAGATGTATCAATATATATTATATATACATAATTGTATATGCATTGTAATTGTGTACATTATATATTGTGTATTTTTTATTCTTTATATTATATACATAGAAAAAAGTGTAAGTCCCCTTTACCCAGTCTCACTCCTGTCCCACTACTTGTCTCTCCAGAAGTTACTACTGCTAATAGATTCTGGGTTTGTCATTTCAGGCCTTTTAACTCATTTTTATATATATAGTTTATGTGAAGAGACACACAGACTCCATGGGTTTGTGTTTGTGTTTTTATATAAATGGGGTTATGCTGTGTGTTTTTCAGCAGCATGCTTTTCTGCCACTCAACAGTAAATTCTAGACACCCCTCTGTGTCAGGGCATACTAACCACGACGTCCTTTTTCAAGGCTGCCTAGTACTCCACCACATGGAATTAGTTCATTATCCTCCTGTTGATAGGCAGTTAGGTTGTCATTAACATTTTATTAAACAAATATTCTTGTACACATCCCTTTTGCCCACATGCAGGTATTTCAGTAGACTAGATTCCTCGAGGTGGAGTGTCAAAGAACATATGTACCTACAGAGTTGATGGATATTGACAGATTGTCCTCCACAAAGATTGTACTCATTCATACCACCCCAATCAGTATTATATGCATACACTCCTGAGATTCTCATTACCCTGTCCTGCACAGAGCTGCTCTTGATCCTAACCCTAATTCTGTCACTGCCCTGGTAACCTTATTTTGCTCCTTTCTTTCCTTCTAGGAATACCAAGCGCACCGCAGAGGTGTGGATGGATGAATACAAGCAATATTACTATGAGGCCCGGCCCTCAGCCATTGGCAAGGCCTTTGGCAGGTAGGCCCTTCCACCAGCCCTGTCTGCCTCCTTTTACCCATGTAAGCACAACCATAGCAAAATGCAAAATGATGTGTATGCCAGGAAAGCACTCCCATAGCATACAGGCCTCACATAGGTGAGCCCCACCCTGCTGAGTTCCTGGGGGGGTGGGGGAGACGGGGAGAGCTGGTAGGGTGTGCAATGCAGAGACAAGCCCTTGGTCCGTGAGGAGCATGCAGGCTCATGGTGAGAAATAAAGAGAGGCTTGCTTATGAAGAAGAGTTTCCCGTTCCCAGGCTGCATGCGGGAAAAGGACATCTGTGGGAGTACTTAGGGATGGGCTATCTGCAGAAAATGCTTGGGGCTTTGTGTCCACCCACTGCTGTTCAAAATCTGACTGTGATCTGTTAGCCTATTTTCCTATCCTGGACTATTAGGACGACAGTCTAGCTAAGCATTTTCAAAATGCAGATGGTTGTGAAGTCAATTTAGTGGATCGTGACCAGCATTTTTTAAAAAATGATAGAGAACTAGAACACTACAGAACAGAATAAAAAATGACAGTTGATTGGAATTAAGGGTAGGTATTATTTTGTGAAACTCTTATTTCAGTTACACATGTACATGCATAGCTGTATATATATATATATGGGTATACTCGATCACAATGTAAGATGTATTTATTTCTTCCTTAAGGTTGTAGTTAGAAAAGTTTGAAAACATTAATGATCATCAATCAACCTTCCTCCCTCTATTTACTTATGTCTTTCAAAAAAAAGTTAAGTCATTCACTATTTCTTTTAGTGGGAAACTAACATTTATCTTGGACCTACCTATGTGTGCTAGGCACTGAGGTCCCTTAATTCATTTGATTCTCACAAAAACCTTTGAGGTAGGTGGTCATGTCCCCAGTTTGTTGGAGAAGAAATTGAGGCTCAAGAGTCAGTGAGGGTCAGTCTGTCCGTGGTCATTGTGGTCAGTTTAGCCAAGGAAGGGGAGGATGTCAGACTGGTGTCCACAGGCACATTGGATGGTTCTTGTTTGCCAAACTTCCTGAAAGATGTCTAAAGCGTGCCTTTCTTGTTAGACCCTTTCTGCTAAGCTGTAATGCAGAATTTCAGGTTCATTAAGGCTGTGCTCTCTATGAAAAAACCAGGTAGTGCTATGATAACTGAGGTCTCCAGAAGTGAGAACCCAGGGGCAGAGAGTCTCTGTGGGCTGGGCTGACCCTGAAGGGTGGCAAGGAATTTGAGAGAAATGAGGAATGACCCAGGGGCCTGGGGTGAACTTGCAGGTCAGAGAATGACTTAAGGTAGGTGACCCGGCTGGAAAGCAGGCGTGGATGGCTCCCGGTCCTGGCCCACCTAGGGTAGGTAGGAAGAGGGGACCAGTCTCCCTGGGGCTTCCTTCCCACACCTGCTGACCAAAGGCTGAGCCCTGCCTCCCGCTTCAGTGTGGCCACGCGGATCGAGCAGAGGAAGAAGATGAATTGCAAGTCCTTCCGCTGGTACCTGGATAATGTCTACCCAGAGCTCACGTGAGTGCAGCCCTCAGCTTGTGCATCTGGCCTGGGTGGGGTCGGCAGCTTGGGGGACCCCCCTACCCTGAGATCTCCCCGTCCCTGGCAGTTGAGCTCTTTTTAGCGATTGGTGTTTATCCTCATGGGAAGGCTTTCGGGGTACCAGGAGGTTAAAAGCAAGGTATGGTAGCAACCAAATTTTAGCAGACTGGGTCTGAGAGGTAGAACTGGGCATTGCTGCCTTGGGAAAACCACACTACATTACGCAGTGAAGGCTACAGAAATATTCATCCCCTTTGACTCTGTTATCTCCCTTCTGGAAGTTTATCCTAAGGAAATAAAGCAACCAAAGCAAAAATCCATTGACAAGCAGATGTTTACCACCAGCTTCTCTGCTGCTGTGAAAAATGGAGAAACAGCTAACAATAGAGGCGGGGCTTAGGGAAGCAGGAAATGTTCATCTAAACAAATATTATGTGTGCATTAATATTACAATCATAATGACTGGGGAAATGTTTGTTGTAGCAAATGAAGAAGCCAAATGCAGATGGTGCACACACGGGAGGTGCACTGGCTTAGGAATATGTGTAGAGCTGCGAGACCCCCAGGGGGGTCAGCTAGACCGGCCAGAGAGGGGCAGAGACAATTCTTTTTTTACTTATTTCAAAATCCTTTTCAGTGTCTTGGCTACATCCATGTGGCTTATTTCCTCATCTCCTTCAGGTGTGCCCTCACCTTTCCTGAACACTTACATTTGCACATTACCCCCTTGCCCACCATTCCCTGCTTATCTTCCTCTCTCGTCATCTAGCATATATGAGGCCAGTTAACTTTGCTGTCATCTCTGCCCAGGACGGTAAGCTCCATGAGGGTAGAGGCAGATCACTGCTTTATCTCCAGCCTCTCGAAGAATAAATAAAAATATTTATTTTTAACTGAATATATTGCACAGTCAGTAAGCCTCAGCAACAACTTTGAAATCAGCTCTCTCCCTCCGTGGCTGTCACCCTGGGGAGGGTTGTTTCACTGTGGCCAGCTTTCTCCCGGGGATGCTGCCCTGGCTTTCCAGAACATTCCACCCTTCTGAGGCTGCATGTCCTTCAAGGAGGCAAGTCTTTGTCCTTTGAGGGCAGATCTGATTTTTGGAAAACAGCCACAGTTAGGTTGTAGTCCAGTCCCGTGAATAAGCTGGATGATTAGCCCAGATAATACAATCCTGGGACCCACATACAGCGCGACAAACCTGAAACAAGTATCAAGACTACGCAGACTCTGGGAGCAATTTTCAAGAAATTTCAAAACTGGGCAATGGCAGCATTTTCGAAGAGTTGGTGGCCTGGATAACCCCAGTTCCCCAGACAATAGCTGTGAAGGGAAGAATGTTAATTCATAAAAGTGTAATAAGTGAACAATTTCCTCAAGTGGCCACTTTTAAGGGGACAGTTTCACTCAGAAGTGCTAGTTCTGAGGAAAAAAATCACAGTTATTTCTTCACATTCTGTCAGAGCTCACCCAACATTGGGATGGAGCCGTGACTGTAGGCCTCGGACAGAATCTGGGAAGCCCATGGCTGGTGTTGAAGAGGACTGAGAATGTGCCCTTCCTCTCCACAGCCCTGTCCCCATGCATAGTGTCCCATGTCATCCTCTAAGGAACGAGAGGAAGAGGTTTTTTATAACTATCAGAAACCTGGATTGATTCCAGGAGAGGAGAGGAGATGAAACCAGCTATGTTAAGTGGAGAGTATAAGTCATCTTCTGTTTGCTCTGTCACTGTGTGGAAGTTGAAGTGATGACTTTTTTATTGTTAAGATAGAAATTGAACACCTCATTCCTATCCAGATTACTCATCCCCACTCCACTCTTCGTGCTCTGCCTCTGGTCTCAGGGTAAGGGGCCAGGAGTGGATCAGGTTTTTGCTTAGAGAGAAGATATATAGGTCCAAATGATACCAACTTTCCTCCAAACAGGATCCCAATGGTTGGTCCACACTTGCAGATGGCAGTGGGGAGAATGAGCAGGCTGAAGGGAGAGGCCTTTGCTTTCCTAGGCCTGCCTGCGATCCTGCCATGACTCTGCCCTTTATCCAGATTAGAGTTCTGCAGCTAATGTATTACCTTTACTAGGATGGTCAGGAACAGCTGTGCAGGCTGTGCATTGCACAAGTAGACCATATTTGCAAGGGTACTTGTCCCACAGTAGATATTGTACATTTATTACAATTCCTGGCAGATGGCAGTGAGAGTCATCTTCTAACAAAACCAGTGTATCATGACAATTTTCTAGCAGATGGAAGTAAAGTGTTTTGAGGAAGGGACACCTATTGCTACTTCTACAAAGGCATCATAATGGCAGCCCAACTTGGAGGAGATCCATAGATAGGGAAACAGATACAGACTTAAGAGAGCTACTGACAAACAGGACAGCTTAGCCTGGCTTTGCCAGAAGCTGGGGGGTGCTGGTGATGATGGCCATCCCAGCTCCTCCAGGGAGCTCCTCCACCACACAGCCACCCAGGGAGCTGTACCTGCTCATGAGATTGCTGCCCGAGCCCTGGGTTTCCTCTATAAGTATCAGTGGGCAGGCCTTCAGGGCCAGTGGCCATTGTCACACTTGGACAGTGGCCACTTCACTCTGAGGCTGATCACTTTGCACATCTCTCTAAGTAACAGAGGATAGGGAGAGGAAGAGAGCAGGAAGGTCTCTAACAGCCCTGTCCTCTTGCACACTTCTGAAAGAGGCCTCAGCTAGCATCTTGTTTCTGTAGAGAGAGGAGATACAGTGCATTGCTCCTGGAGGAAGGAGAGGGGGTGGAGTCTTTGCATCCCAACATCCTTGCACCTAGTAGGAGTTGTAAACTCACATCCTACAGTGATCAGACAGGTAGCGTAAATAAGCCAAGTGGGAGTGGGGGGTGAGGCAATAGGGAGTTGAGGGGACTGTAGCAAACTGGGATGCCAGAGCCCCACCCAGAGGTGGCAGCTGCTACTCACAACAGTGTGTCAGTGCCATGCTGGAAGGCAAGATTGATATGGCCAGATCCTTCTGTTTTCTCAAGAGAAGCTGGATTCAGATTTTTCTATGTAACTTCAGATTTTTAAATATTGCTGACTTATTAAAAGCAATAATAACCACACTATGTACGTCAGACAATGCATGTCCAGGGCCAGCAGTTTGCAACCTCTGGTCTAGAATTATACAAACTCTCCAGTGGGATATGGAGGGGTACACACTGCTGCAGGAGTGTGGGAGAGAAAGTGAAGATACCTCCCCAAGGCTCCGTGAGAGTGGGTCAGTGCTGGGGTTCTAGAGATTTCCAACCAGCTCTGAGGATGGAAGACCTGGTTTGGTTGAGATCCTGCAGGATGTTCACATGAAAGAATGCTAGGAATCTTATGATGCCCTCACCACCAACCTGCCCAAGGTCTCTTCCGACAGAGGTAACAGGAGGCAGATAAGATTAGGACATGGTCAGACCCTAAGCCCTCCCGGTTCCCCACTGGCCCACTGAAGGTCCATGACTCACGAGTGTGTATGACCTCCTAACCCGAGGAATACAAGCCTGCATCAGCTGGGCCTGCAGCCTCCTTAAGTTCGTTACCCACAGGGTGAGATGGTGTGTCATGTATGTGTATGTGTGTGTGTTTATGCATATTTTTCTGCACATATAAAGTGTTTTAATGACATAATGTTCTAAAACTTGCCTGCTTTACTTAACAGTATGTCGTGAACATTTTTCCATGTTTCCAGATCTTCTTTCACAGAGTCATTAATGGCTACAGGGTTTTCCATCCTACAGATGAATCAGAATTTATTTAGCTCATCCCCTATTGTTGGATATCTAGAAGTTCCCAACCTTTTCAGTATAATGAACCCCTCTGAGAGGAATGGCTTTTAAACTAAGTCTCTGCACACATTTATAACTTGCCATAGGATAGTAAGTTCCCACAAGTGGGATTGAGATTGTTAGGTCAAATGTGTGCACATTTTGAAGGCCTTTGAAACATAATAACACACGCCCTCCAAAACAGTTGGACCAACTTGTGCTCTCGCTGTAGATTGTGAAAAGATTCAATCCCATAGCTAATACTAGCAGCAGCTATTGATTTATATTATTGAAACTATATATAGGCTGGTTCTGACTTCTCAGGTCACCTATTCTCCCTTTGAGAGTGTACTTCCTCCTTGCTCAATAAAACTGCCTTCTAGCCTTCAAAAAAAAAAAAACCTATTTATATGTACAGTTTTAAACATGAAATATATTTTGCACATATAAATAAATATGTATAAATACATACACATATATATGCATATATGGTACACAAACAGTAGTAATTCTCTAATATGTGATTCTTCAGTAATTAGTGAGATTGTGTGCACTCTCATATTTGTGTATTTTCAATTTGCCTCTCCAAAGCAACCTCTTCCCTGCCATTTTGAGGTCGCTTACTGAGTTCACATTTAGGCCCAGCCTCTCCCCTGGCTTTCGCCTTTCCGGACTGAGGAGTCCTGAGGTTCTGGCCTGAGCTCTGTCTCCCACAGGTCCTCTCTGACCTGACCCGCTTTGTTCTTTCCCATGAAAGCTTGCTTCCCAGGAGCTGACCAGGCCATGTACCCTGGCAGAGGGCATGGGTAAGCCCGGGAGGCAGAGGACAAGCCTGACTACTATCTTTCCTCCCAGAGTCCCTGTGAAGGAAGTACTCCCTGGCATCATTAAGCAAGGAGTTAATTGCCTAGAATCCCAGAGCCAGGACACAGCTGGTAACTTCTTGCTCGGAATGGGGATCTGCAGAGGGTCTGCCAAGAACCCCCCAGCACCCCAGGTAAGCTGCTTAGGGCCCCCTGCTCAGAACCAGGAGTGCAGGGTCATTGTTCAGGAGTGAACTAGGGGCTTCCTTCTGCCCTTTCTTATTTTCTCTTTGCCTACACCCTCCATAGACCCAACTTTCCCAGGGAACCTGTAAGCTGTCCTCTCACACCCTGCTTCTTGAGTCTGCTTCTGTCACATTCCCACCGCCTTTCCAAACCGTCAGACAGTTGCCCTCTATGCACCACGTGCTTTCTTCTTGCAGAGAGAGAAGACATACCCAAACAGCACCCAGCTCTCCCCTGGGATGCAGCTGCACTCAGCTTGTACGACAGGCAGCAGGGCACCCAGGATTCCCATGTGTTGCACACAAGTACAACATACGAGTGCTGATACCCATGGCAAAACCAGAGTAGGTCATGGAGACCCCCAGCATGCACCAGCTCCCTGGCTGCCCTGGTCCCATGTTGTCTTTCTCCCATTCCCCAGCACCCCTTGGTACAACCTTAATTGCCATCTGGTGCCAGCTCCAACCAAGCTCCCTGACCTCAATATTTTATTATGAAAATTTTCAAACATAGGAAAGTTGAGAAATGGTAGTGACTACCCATACACCCACCCTTATTTGTAGAAAATTCTACCAAAATACACAGTGTATTTGGTTTTTTATCTATCTACCCATCTCTCCATCCATCATTGCACATTTTGACTCAGCCTTTCTGGACCCTGTCCTGCAGGCATGGCTGTTCAGTGACCATCTCATCCAGCAGCAGGGCAAGTGCCTGACCGCCACCTCCACCTCCATCTCTCCCGGGTCCCTGGTCATACTGCAGGTGTGCAACCCGAGAGAAGGCAGGCAGGTAAGCCTCCCCAGCCCTGGGCACAGGATTGCCATCAGCCCCAGGGGGACAGGCAGTAGGAGTGGCAATCCCTGGGAGGGGAGCCCCAGGTTGAAACAAATAGACTCAAATAAGCCCTGCAGAGTGAGGATCTGTGGGGGCCTAAGTCAATATCTAGGACAAGTCTTATAGTTTTACTCTTCAGGTAAATATCTGTTAAATGCCTGTCCTGCCAGCCTGTGAACTCCATGAGGGCAGGGCCTATCTGTATTGTCAACAACGTATCCCTACCCTGGACAACCACCACAGCCCAAACTGTTGGTTTTCACTGGGGGCCCGAGCTGCGGGTCTCACATAGATTGTCTCATCTGATCCCCTCAGCAGCCCTGTGATGTGGGTCCTGGTACTATCCCTATTTTATAGGTGAGTAAACTGAGGCTCACTGAAATTAAGAAACATGTGTCAGATCACACAGCTGGGAAGGGGGGGAGCTGGAATTCCAACCCAGGTCAGTCTTAACCCAGCACATGGTAAATGCTCAATAAATGTTTCCTAACTGCTGGAGAACTGGGGAAACTAAGATCCAGATACAGTGATTTCCAAGCTGGCCCGATACCCACCTTGTGCTCATGAATCCTGGGGACACAGGTCACGCACACCTGTCAAGGAAGAAACGGATGCTCAGAAAGGTTCCTTTGCCCCAGGCACACAGCAGCCGGTAACTGAGTCAGCCCAGCTCCCTTCCTGACTGGGAGGGCTACGCCTCTACCCAGGAAATGGGACACCTAGGCTAGAGGTCTGCCTGCCCTGGGAGGGCATGCAGCTCTCCAATTTAGCCTGCAGGGTTTTCCTCCCACCCTTTTCCCATTTGCCTGGGTCGGCCCTTTAGGGATGACTGGCAGGTTGCTATGCCATTCTGGAAGAGCAGCCAGATTTGTCCTTTCCTGCCAGTGTACGTATGTGCACGTGGGTGTGTGAGAACTGTGGGCCTTGCTGGGCGTGCCAGACACTGCTGAAGCACCTCCTGACTGGGAGATGCAGCTTGTCCTGCCTGCCCCCACTGCCTGCTCTCTGCCCTGCCCTGCAGTGAGGGGGGTCCTCGGGCTTCTCTGAGGGTCAAGCCTTGACCTCTCCCATCGCTCCTTGCTGAGGCTGGAGCTGGGAGGTAGCTCCCGGGGCAGCCACCATGCACACTTCCCAGGAGCCAAGCACTCCTCTGCTCTTCATGCTGGGCCAGCCTAGGGCTCGTAGGAATCTCCCTTGGCCCCTTTCATTCTGTTCCTGCCAGGCCGCCAACAGCATCCTGGGCAGCTGTGCCCCTCTCCTCCAGGGGGGCAGGCTCACAGCTCTCCCACTGCCAGTATCTTCTTGAATCTGGGTCTGCCTTCTTGGTCCCCCTTTGGCCCTGTTTCCAAGGCCACTTGAGTGTCATGTGTCCAAGGTCCCTGTGCACTAGAGGTGGTATTGGTGTCAGCATGGTCACCCCCTCATCACTGAGCCACAGTCTCCTCACTTGTAAAATGAGGGGCTTGCTCTGTCTACCTTGCCAGGATTCTGCAAGGACCGAGACTGAAGATGCAAGTGTGCTGTGAGGGTTGCTGTGGGATCCACTGGGCCCAGCACTGAGTGGCCAGGAGAGTCAGGGAGACCCTGAGACTGTGCTTGATGGCACTGGTAGAAAGGCAGAATCCTGCTTCTTGGGGAGCCCCTCCTAATGCTTGAGTAATTAATTCATTCTTCGTAAAACAAAACGCTGGTACCTGCCTTGTGCCAGGGAATGTACAGATGGTGTTGACCACAGGGATGAAAGGAGGACGTGGTCCTGCAATGTCCAGATGGGAGAGTGTGGCCAGCCCCTCCCAGAAGGTCAGAGACTAGAAGAGCCTAAGGCAGTAGGACAGGGAGTTCCAGAGGAACCAAAGGCCCTGTCCCACCCACCGGCCCTGACCTTCAGGCTGGTGTGTGACCTTTAGATCTCTGCTGGGACCACATGGGTCAGAGAGGCTGGTTCTCAGCCCCACACCCCGCTGCTCTGCATTCCCAAAGGGACATCAGGCCCCACAGCCCCCACCTTCCACCCTGTGTGCACATCCCCAGTCCGCTCCCTTCTCTGCCCCCGCCGCCCACCCCCACCCCATGTGCCCCTGCAGCCCTGGGCCTGGCCCCGCAGTGGGGTGCAGCTCAGCTCCCTTCTCCTAGCTGCTCCAAGGACAGCACGGCCCCTCCCTGTCAGAGCCTAAGGGCTCCACCCGCGTGGTCACGAGCAGTCCCCACTTCTTACTGCAAGCAAGGTGGATATAGGAAGAGAGGAGATGGATGCATGGGAGGCAAATAGGAGAGAGACCAAAAATAGAGCAATCTTGCTATTTATTCTCAGCCTCATCCTTGCTCCTAAATGTTTCCAACAACACTCCATCCTCCACCCAGGAGCCTCCAACATATTCCCCAGGACCAGGTCTCCTCCTTGTCACGCCTGGGGAAGGGAAGGCCCAGGAGGCCCAGCAGCCCCTCCATGACTCCGGCAGGGGACTCAAGTCCCCCCACCATCACGCTGGCCTCCCTCTTCATCACTGCAGATGGCAGCCTGTTCCACTAAGGGGCGTAGCTGACCAGCCACACAGTTTCAGGCCAGGTCAGAAGCTTAGAGCTGCAGGAAGAAGAAATCTTGTTGAAAGAAGTCAAAGGTTCACCTAGGCCAGGACCCACAAACTCCAGGGCTATGGGAAGCAGGTGGGGCAGGCCTGGAGGGGGAAAAGAGGGACGGGACAGGGCTGTGTGAGCAGGAACCAGAGCCCCACCTACGGCGACAGCAGCTCTTCAGCCTGGCAACTGGTGCACAAGAGGAACTGGGCCCATCTCTAGAGGGAAGCTGGAAACGTGGATTTTTAGGTGACAAGTAGGCCAAATTTTAAATAAACCCAGTGCAAGTCAAACAAAATACCTCTCTGGGTTAGATCCATTCAGCCCTTGGGCTTCTAACAGTAACTTCATACCAACCACAGCAGCAGGAGGAGGGGGCGAAGCTGGCGTGGGGTGGGGAGCCCTATGCCAGAGTCATGGTGTGTTAAATGAGGCGGGTATGTCCCAGGTATATCCAGGGCCACATACATACATGTGAAATGATGGTACAGTTATGATCATTTTTAGTCATTATTTTCTTATTATTTATTTTAATCATTATTTTCTTACTCTGCCTTTCCCCCCAGAGATGGAAGAGAAAAGCCTCTTTCATCCAGCATTCAGTCAGCGGCCTTTGCCTGGAGGCCAAGCCTGCCCAGCTGGTGACCAGCAAGTGCCAGGCCGACGCCCCGGCCCAGCAGTGGCAGCTGTTGCCACACACATGACGGTAGCCCAGGACCTCCTGTACCCTTTGCATGAGGCTTCGGGACTGGAAGGGGGTTAGGGTGGGGGAGTGTAAAGCAGGCCTTTTCCATCTCACATTTCTGCCGGCATCATCAGCAAACTGCCCTGCCACGACACCCGTTTCTCCAGAGCTGCTGTGGGGAGGACTCAGGGAAGCACGCCCCGACGCCCGCTGCCATTCTGGCCTTGCCGAGGGAGAGGAGAAGGTCAGGGTGCTGAACAGCTGCTGGCAGAGACTGGGCAGGTCCCTCGGCCCTTTTTTCCCACCCTTCACCCCTCCTGGGGGTCCGGACATTGGTTTGTTGGCTGGGGAGAGCCAGGACAGAGCCCACACAGGCACCCTGCTGGGTCCTGTGGCCTGCCTGTGGCATCATGCCTGGGAGGAGAAGGTGGCAGCGTGGATGGGGAGTCTGAAGGCAGGAGGAGAGCGACAGGTGGAGAACAGGAAGGAGGTGGAGGCTTAGTGGCGTGTTCCGGGCAGGGGCCAAGTTGGGAGCAGGACAAAGAATGGGAATTTGCAGAACGTGAAGGGAAGAGGAGCTAAGCACGAAAAAGAGTGGGTCCCTTCCTGAGGACCTGTTTCCTCCCACGCTGGACCAGTCCTGGGCACTGTGCCTCCAGTCCTGTGCTCTGGGCTCCATGTTCTTAGCAAGGGCTGCAGGGAGATCTTCCGGAACAGTCTGAGGACGGTTTAGTAAACAGATCCCACTTCTGTATGGCCATGTATTAGGTCAAGACCTCTCCCTTGGGCCTTAGTGACCAGCTGGCACCCTGCCCCCTGTCCCGCCTGTCCACCACGATGACCACATCAGGATAGGCAGCCACTGTGCACCCTGCACAGCCCATCCTCATTCATAGTTTTTGACTCCTGCCTTCTTAAAGCCTGTATGTCTGTAAATACAGCAAGCATCATGGGGTTGGAGTGGCTGGAGAGAATGGGAGCTCCATTCAGGGGTGTAAACATTCCCTAAGTCACTAGGGAGGAAGTCATCGAGGCTAAGCCTTGTCCCACCTGTCCCCACTGCAGGAGGGAGGTATGCAAGGGTCAGCCCCTGCAGTGGGCTGGGAGGCTGGCTTATGGCTCCTTCTCACAGCCACTGGGCTTCTTTCTCCCTTCCCCCCTGGCCTGGGCTTCTGCTGTTCCCCATGTCCTTGTGCTCCAGTGGCTCAGCAGTTTGATCTTGGGCAAAAGACTGGTGATACCAGTACCCCTAGGGGCCCCCCTCCCAAAGCAGACCAGTCTAGGACCCCAGGGAATCATGGATTTCAAAGGGTCTAGGCATCTCCTGAAATTGTCCCCCAAGGAGTACATGTGTATGCATACATGCATTTTCCTGGGTAGGGGGCCCATGGACTTCCCCAGCTTCTTACAGAGGTCCCTGATCCCAAAGGGTCTGAACCTCTGCCCCGGACTGGAGCTGCCCTCCACCTGAGCTGCTGTGCTCCGTCTCCCTCCTGGTGCCTAACTGCTGTCACTCTGCTCCCTCCATGCAGTCCCTGGGGCCAGGATCTGTGGGCTGCAGCAACCGCCCTGGGGGGCTCTCAGTGGCATCCTCTCAGCAGTGCCCCTGTGCCCTGGCGTGCACCCCCCAGGGCCACACTTCTCCCGTCCTCTGTCGTGATGGTTCACCCACTGCCATCTCTGTTGTCCATGTCCACCCTGTGGGCAGCGTGGCCTTCTAGGGATGCGGGAGCTCGGGCTTCTGTCACTGAATGGAAGAGGATTGCTGCTCGGAGAGCTTCCGGGGCCCCCCTTCCCTGTGGTCAGACCAGACTCAGCACTGGTCAGGGCCCTTGTGTGGGACACAGCCCTATTCTGTTTTTGCTTTTCTTCTTTACCAAAGCATGTGCCACTAGCTGTCCCTGTGGACTTCGTCTTTATGGAACACACACCTGGAATAAAACCACTTCTCACATGTTCATGTGCACCAGCGCCTTCCTTTCTGACTCCAGAGCCAAGCCCTTTGGCTCTGCCCTCCCCTGCCTCGTAGGGAAGCCAGGGCCTCTGCTCTGATAAAGTGAACCTGAACATGCTCCGGCCTAACTCCCTCCAGCACCTGAGCGTGTGCAACATGGCCTATGTGCCCGTGGTACCCCAGAGACTCTGGCCACTCCAGGGGGAGTCAGCGGGTGGCCCTGCTATGGGGGCAGGCTGGGACAGAGTCCAGCTCCTGTAACCTCATCACTGGACTCTACTTGGAGCTTCAAAATGGAAACTTCTCTGGGGCTTCTCTGAATGCCTGCCTTTTGCCAACCCTCTGTCCTGCCCAGGGCACCAGCCCTGGCCCCTCTGAACTGCCTTCCCCTTCTCTACTGCACAAGAAGGCAGTGGTACAAATGCAGGGGAACAATCTTCCTAGGCAGAAATTGAAAATAATTCCAGAGAGTCCCACCAACCTATTGTTTGATCAGGAGGCAAATGTTCTGCCTAATGTTTCCATGGAAACCAGTGGAAAGCCCCCACCATTTCTGTGATCAGAAGCTGAACCTAACCAGGTAAAAATAAACTCCGCTTTGGTACACGTGTGAACTGCAGCAGGCAGGCCAGTGTGCAAGTGGACCACTCCTGAACGCAGCCTTTTCCACCCCCACCCCACCTTGTCTCAGGGCTGCTCATCTGGGATTTCCCACAACTTCTGATCACCGGCCCGGAGCAAAGCCCTGGCTGCTGCCAGTTCAGAGCCCACAGAGCGGCTGCAGAGTCTAACTTGGGCTAAGCTAGGCAAAGGTGGCAACTTACCGTAGAAGACGCTGGCTGTGGTCTCTGTTCATCTGTCCATCCTCTCAAGGAGCACAGCCCTCTGCCCCCTGCCTTCTTGGGTACCCTCCTGGCCAGGCTGGGCCAGCTTTCCACTTTGGGTCTATATTTTCATTCCTAGCATTGAGGGGCTCTGGTACTGCTTCTGAGTCTTACCCTCTCTCACCCTTCTCCAAACCTACCTCTCTGGAGGCCTATTCTTTCCCAAGCCCTTTTTTTTCCTGGAAACTAAGACTTAGCCTTTAGACAGCTCATGGAAATATCAGCAAAAGTCCTCCGGGCTGGCCATTGACAACAGGCCTTACATAACAGCAGAAGCAAGCCTGCCCAGTGGAGACTGGGGGTGTGCAGGAGAAATATCTGCATGGGGCCCACTTCCCATTCCTCCCACAGGGAGAGTCCCCCATCCCTGGGCCTCTGTGACTTGACTTCAGTCTTCACAAAGGCTCTTCCCCAGGCCCAGGGGTGTCCCCATTCACAGGGGGGAGAAATAATCTGGGCAACATCTGCCCCCTAGACCTGCGGGCGCTGAGTGGGGTGTAGGCCTCTCCTACCAGGCAATAGGAAAAGAAGGCTGGGGAGGAAAGGCTGGGGTTCACAATGTCCACAACGTCATTCCCAACAATGTTCTCAATGTCTTTGGTATTTCTGGGTATCTCCTGTGGGCTAAATCAGTTTCCTCCAGCGGGAGGGAGGGGGACCCAGGCAGGTTTTCTTGTCAGAAAAGGGCTTTGCAACCAGGCACTTAATAGATACCTCGAGGTGGAGCAGGAGAGGGCGGCTCTCTCGTGGCCTGGCAGCAGGCTGTGCGGGTAACCAGGCTGGACGGAGGCTCCAGAGCCAACTGAGGACAGTCGCCTGCTAGGGAATTCAACTCCAGGAAGTGTGAGGAAGAGGGTAGGAGAAGCACGGACCTCAGAGACCTCATCACCGGGACCATCCCTGCCCTGCCACTTACCGGCAGTGGGCTCTTAAACAGTTACTCCACATCACAACCCGGGGCCTTCACCTGCAACATGGGGGTGGTCAGAGCCCTAGAGATTTTGTGAGGACTGGTTCATTTAACAATTGCAAAGCATCTGGCCCTTTCTAAATGGTTAGTAAATGTGTGTTATTGCTATTATTAATAAATATTTTCTGAGTGCCTGCACATACTAGGCTCTGTGTTAGGGATGACGACACATATGTAAACAAAACAGAAATGGTCCCTGTCCTTAAGAACTAATTCTAGCAGGCGAGGTGGACAAATAAACAGGCAACTACAATACCACAAAAAAGCTACAGGGAAGGGGGACCATGGGAGCAGCAAGACGGGCCTCTCATGTGGCCTGGGGGCCAAGGAATCAGGAAAGCTTGAAATGATATTCTGGGCAATGCCTGCCTTGGGCTGGGTAAGGGATGGGCTGCGTGTGGCCTGGCCACGTCAGCTGGCCATACTAGCTGGGCTGGTAGCTGTGTGGGCCACTGAGTGGCTTGGCTTTTTACCCTGGTGCACACAGCATGATGGTGACATAGATGGCTCTGTAATTACAGAATTCTGGAAGGGAGCTACGGGAGCCATTTAAATCTGAACAGGCACACCCTTTGCTTCTTGAGTGAGTGGCCTTCTCCAGGGCTCAGTTTTCTTCATTTGGGGAGGGCAAAGAAAGTGGGGAATAGAGGGCCTGGAAAAATCAGTGATTCTTATCTGAAGAAAATGAATGCAAATGATCAGGTGTTCCAGAAAGACTGGTTTCCTGGTTCCTCCTTGGCTCAGGTTATCTCTGATCCCCTCAAGCCATCTGAAAACCAAGTGTGTCTTTCAATAATTTCTCTTTCAGATAAGTGTGGCTCAAGGTTTGGTCCATGTAACCTACTGGAATCCCCTGAGGTGTTTATAAGCATGTATGTTCCCAGGCTCAGCCCCAGACCTGCTGACTCCAAATCTCCTCATGTGACAAGCGGCCCAAGTGATATGGAGGCACATTGAGTCTGCAACCCTCTGAGGCCCAGGGAGGAGGAGCCACGCAGGGAGGGTCAGGATAGGCTCAGGACTGATTGAGCAGGCCAGCACTTGACCTGGCTGAGAGAAGGAGGAGCCACGGGAAAGGAAGGCACCCCTGTGCTCCCACGGCCAGGTGATGTCAGAGCCAGATATGTGTGCACACCAGATCTAGGAAAAAGAGTTCTGAGCCAGAACTGGCTCTAAATGAGAGTGGTGGAGAAATGCCCCCAGCCAGGAAACCCTCGTTTGCACAGGAAAACAGGGGTGGCAGGAGTGTCTGAGGGTCTGGGTCCAGAACCAGGAGGGAAGAGTCTCCAGAGGTGGTTGCTTCTGGTTTTCTAGGTGAGAAGCAGCTCCCAGCATGGCAGGCAGCTTGCTGAGGTGTGGGTGGTGCTCTGGCCCACAGCCCTCTCAGACAGCTGCTGAGCCCAAGTTCCTCTGCTCATGATGGCAAGGGCTGCCCTTGCCCTGGGGTGACTGCTCTCCAGAGCCTGGTTCTCCATGGGGCAGGAGAGTGGGGAAGTCATTAAGGTTAAACCAGGTCATAGTAAGCAGTGGGGGCAGCAGTGGGGAGAGCAGAGTGGCGCTGGGGGCTTTCCTGGGTGTGCTGCAAGACCTCAGCCCTGTCTCACATCCTGCAGTTGTCAGGTGGAGACTGACCGTTTCCTTCATCCTGATGGACGCTGGAGAGGTGAGCAGGCTCTGGGCAGCAGTTTGAGTTCCTTGGGGATTCCTCTCATGGGTCATGCAGACTCTTACCCCTGCGGCACCTTCAGCATGAACATCTTCAAGCCCATGATGTGTTGAGCACCTACCCCACAGAGGACACGCAGCCGTCTTGGGGGAGCCCTGTAAGCCACCAGTGGTCAAGGCTGTCCATCCCTGAACAGCAGAGAGACAGGCCAACCTCAGCTCCACTCTGTATCCTTTATCTGCCTTCCAGCCAAACTGACCTGTACCCTGTTTCTTGAAGTTGCTTTCTGTCTTCTGCTGTCTGTACGTCTGCTCTTCCTTCCACTCTCTGCCTTGTCATCTCCTTGTCAGCTAGGTTGAATACTATTCGTTTTCCTAGACCAATGCTGCTTACATAAGGAAACCTTCCCCATCTCCCACCTGTCTGAAAGCATCTCTCCAGCTTGTTCCTTCAGCATCCTGAATGTTCCTCTCTAGCCACAGAGGCCGCCTCCCACACGCTGTGATATGGGCCTGTCTGCTCTAGGCCTTATGGGTCTCCTTGCTGTTGGGCTGTACCGACTTGATGACAGGAACTATGTCTGCTCCAGCTTTATGATTCTCAGAGCCACAGCACAGAGCCTGATTCTTGGACTCACTGTAAATGCTGGCTTGCCAAATGAATTGATTAAAAGATTCTAGCTGTTTTTTGTTCATGTTTTTTTCAGGATATGGTATTTTTGCATTTAGGAATTAGTACATTGCATACAGGAAGCGCTCAATCTAAATTTGTTCATCTTTCCTCTTGATTCTCCCTGAAAGCTCAGTATCTTCACAACCTCAGGCTTCCTAGGTATTAGCTGTCTCTAAGCTAATCTAGGTATTAGCTGCTTCTCAGTGCTCAGCACCATTGATGCTGAGGGCCGATACGGATTCCCAGTTCCCAGAACTTGATAACACTGCATGTGCATTCTCTCACTTGGTCCCCAGTACCCACCCTGAGGTATGTTCTGGTATGCCCACTTTGTGAATTATGAAGCAGGGGCTCAGTGAGGAGAAAAAACTTACCCAAGGACAAATATTGAGGTTTAAATTCAGTACCTCCCACAGACCAGCAGCAGGGAACCTACCAGAAGTGCAAATTCCAGAGCTCCACCCAGACCTACTGAATCAGAAACTCTGGGGTTGGGGCCTAGCCATCTGGGGGCCCAGAACAAGCCCCCAGGGAACTCTAATGCATACTCAAGTTGGCAAGCAGCTGGTTTGGTAATGAGATGGGTCCTGGTCCACTGACTGGAGGGCCTGGGTCACCACCTGGCACAGAGGCTGAGAGAGCTGACGCTGTGTGCTGCTGGCCATGCCTCTCTGCTATGCAGGCTGCCTCCCACGGAGCTCTGGGCTGTGATGGATCTCTCCGGGCAGAGGGTGGGTGGGTATGAGGCTGGGCCAAGGTTGCTGCTGAGCCAAATGCCTCATGCCAACCTTGCTTTGTGTGATTGATGAG